GCACACAGGGAGGGTAAACGCTCACCCTCTATCACCCACGGGTGTGACCTGCAGTGACCAGGAGACCTCTTTTCTCCCCACACTCCACTGGGGCCTCGGGTGGTACCTGCGGGAGCACAAAGGCCTGGGTGCTTCCGTGTGAGTGTGTGAGGAAGTGTTCTTAAGGCTACGGAGAGTCATCCTGCTGGCCCTATCACACAATCCACAGCTAGCTCATTCTCCGTGTTTGACAATTGGGACAAGAGAAGTTACAGTGGCCTGTGTCTACCCAAAGGCAGTCACATGCTCTGGATTGTAAACCAAGGCTTCTTGAGCCTATGGGCCTGGACGCCTGCATGCCTCGTTTGTCTGGAGTGGACACTGCATTTCTACTCTGCTTCTGGGTGGGCACTGAGGCCAGGTGGGGTCAGGGAAGGAGGGGATGTGGCCAGCAGCAGGGGCAGACATCTCACCTGGGGCAGGAGTCAGCCCCCTCAGCACAGGTGGCTGACTGGGGCATGACCTTGAGCTGGACTGAGAGCCCAGCAGAGAAGTCCATTTCAGCCACTGTGCTTGCACAGAGTGGTCAAGCAGCCAGGCCAGGATGCGCAGCCTCCCCTGCACGATCTCAGGGGATCAACAGCAGGCCTCTTGGGGGCACCATGCAGGCACCTGAGGGCCTGGTCAGTCTCAGTCTCTTCACAGAAGAGGGCATGCCTGGGGTGGGTGTGGGGGTGACACGGACCAGCAGCCAGGGTCCCAGCTTCAGAGAACCCAGCAATAGGGCAGGGGTCCAGGGGCATCAGGAGCAGCACAATCTGTCTCCCTTCCAGGGGCTCTGATCCAGATGGGTTAAATCCCCCTCTTGCTGGTCTGAGGGAGGAACCTAACAACCTGATAATGGTCTACCTTCATCCTTTTGCATGTGGCTGTCCAGTTTTCCCAGCACCATTTATTGAAGAGACTATGTTTTGTCCGTATGTTCTTGGCATCTATGTTGAGATTAGCTGTCCGTAGATGTGTGGTTTGATTTTGGGGCTTTCAGTTCTGTTCCATTGATCTGTGTGCCTGTTTTTGTACCAGTACCATGCTGTTTTGATCACTATGGCTTTGTTTTGAAGTCAGGGATTTTGATACCTCCAGCTTTGTTTTTTCTCAGGATTGCCTTAGCAATTCGGGGTCTTTGGTTGCCCCATATGAATTTTAGGGTTCTTTGTTCTATTTCCATGAAGAATGTCATTGGGATTCTGATTGGGATTGCACTGAATCTGTAGATTGCTTTGGGTAGTATGGACATTTTAACTATGTTTATTCTTCCAACCCATGAGCAAGGAATCTCTTTCCATCTTTCTATGTCACTATCAATTTCTTTCAGT